GAGAAAGGCAGGAAGAGGAGGTGTTTGTGCAGCGCAGATGGGCGTGGCTGGAAGAGCGGTAACACCCTCCCTCGGAGCCCTTTTTTTTCAACAATGAAACGATGTTGGGTGATAAACACTTTTTTTTAAAAAGCCTAATAACAAATACCATCTTTAATCCTTAAAAATACTAATAAAAATATAAATTGCCACTCTTTTCTGTTACCGTCATCAGCCCAGCCACACCCATCCCCCAATAGATAAAATACAACTGTTAAGTTGCATATTATCTATTATCTTGTATCTATCATCGTGTTTTATAACCCCCAAAACACAAACACATCCTCCAACCACACACACACACACACACACACATGTTTTGTTTTCAAACACCATTGCAGTGTATTTCGCACCTCAAACCTTTTGTAAACAATAAAACAAATACAAGTAAACTGAAACAAATTACAGGTTGCAATAAAATAAAGTACAAACTCTTTTAATAACAGAAATCTTTATGGTTTAATTTATTGTACGTGTAGTTTTTTTTAACTGTGTAAGAATATTTAACATTATGCTATCAATACATTTAAAAAAATGCCTCTCTTCAAAATGGGTTTAAAAACATAAACAGCTGTGGGATACTGTTTGCCCATGATTTGGACAGCCCAGTGCGGGCTTCCGACACAGGGGGATACCTACCTTGGCACTAGGGCTGGTTATCATCACTGATTTCTAGAATCGGTTGGATTCCAATTCGATTCAATTTTTTCTCAGACAGTCAGAAATATTAGAATTTTGATCATTTATCAGTACTGATACTTCATCAGAGGTTTAAGCATATGCAATATACACAACAGATGCCTTTGTGTCAAAGTAACTAAGGATAAAACACAGAAAAACATGAAGGAGATTTTCCTGGCCTGGCTTTTCCTTAAAAATATTCTGCAGTGGATCAAAAACTGAAGAAAACCGTTAATCAACATATGAACATTACCTGATGTGGAGGCTCCCTTTCTGACCAAGCTGAGCTTTCCCTGACTGTCGCACACATATAACTCATTGTCATCGCCTAGATTGTATTTAAAGACTGCCTGTGGCACTGCATCTCTGCCACCTACGGTGGTGTTCTCCACTAATTCACCAGTTCATATTAGTTTATATTTTTCTTTCATTGTAAATAAACCTATTAAACTTCACATCAGTTGTGCATACATAAAAGCTGCAATGATGCCAGTTGCAACTCTTTCTCCTCCTGCTCTCCTGTTATTGCTCACCCTCTTCTCTCTTGCTGTCCCTCTACAACTAAAAAAAATCTACTACCTTTGCCACTCTCCACTATTCCACTCCCTCTCTCTTCTCTTTATTACTCAGTCCACCATATTCAATAAACTTTATAAAATTGTATCTGCATCTCAGACTCCCTTTGACCCAAATGTTCTGTATTATTAAAAAAAAAGGCTAAACTCTGTGTTTCATTCTAGCCTGGGTTTATCTTACATGGAAACACCCTGTAGTTGATCAGCATTCAAAATTACTTACAGATCATCGGAATCATCAAGAAGATCAGACTTGGTGCAGATAAAATGAATTTGCTGACATTCGCCACCATTTCCAATCAGACTACTGACACTTTCCAGGATCTCCCAGGCCTCTTTCTCTGATGCTGCTCGATTAATTTCAGTCACAATCCACACAGTAGAACAATCTCCAACTATCTGAAAGGAGAATAACATGTCTCAGTGCTTCATTGAAAGATGACTGTTTACAGACAACACAGTATAAGCAAAGAGCAGTAAATGTGAATTACCCCTTTCCACATCTGATCTCTGCTCTTGTTACAGTCACCATTTCCAGGAAGGTCCACAAGTGTGACATGCTGGAGAAAAGGATTGTTTGGCACCCTGACAGTCACACACTTCACTAGTGGCCAAAACCACTTTTTTCCTTCATTGCCTTCTCCTTGTTTTGACTCACTTCTTGTGTACTTGACAAATTGTGCAGAAAGTTCATTAGCCTGCAATAAATAATGAAAGTAAAGCAGTGCAGTTTAATTTCAGTCCTCACAGAAAGTGCTTTATAGAATTCATTAAAAAGTCAGTGACATAAAAAAGGTTAAGTAATTAGTGTTCAGTTTTAGATTTAAATGATCAGATTGTGTCATGTACAAGCTTCCCCTTGTGTTATATTGGACCAAGAAAAACATCAATCAAATCCAAAATGAAAATAGATTTTTATGATTTATTTAATTTTTTATTCTCTATTTAAATCATGCTATGAACACTCTTGTTCTCAACAGCCAGTATTACTATTAGCAGAAACTACTTCATGTCGGCATTTTGCACAGTTGTCCACTTTAACTGAAGGTTAAGTAATTAGTGTTCAGTTTTAGATTTAAATGATCAGATTGTGTCATGTACAAGCTTCCCCTTGTGTTATATTGGACCAAGAAAAACATCAATCAAATCCAAAATGAAAATAGATTTTTATGATTTATTTAATTTTTTATTCTCTATTTAAATCATGCTATGAACACTCTTGTTCTCAACAGCCAGTATTACTATTAGCAGAAACTACTTCATGTCAGCATTTTGCACAGTTGTCCACTTTAACTGACTGTCAGACACTGATTTACTTTGTGGCCACTTTGATTCAGTCTTTGCTGAATTTGCTCAGCAGTGAATTTCTACGGTGCGATTTAAAGTGTAAGAGTAGGTTAAAATAGGGAACTGATCACTGTTGTGTGATAAGGGAAAAGGTTCTTACTGCGATTATTTAAAATAAAAACAATCATGCTCTACATCACGGACCTGGACCAAACTTGGGTCTTGTTAACCAGTTATTACAAGAACAGATTTATTTTTTCTGGCAATGTGATCATCTAAAGATCATTGTGGGATCTCAGTAAGATCTGTTTTGTTTTGATCACTGGATCTGTTTTCAGTGTTTTGTTTTTTGGACTTTTGAATCTATGCTGCATGCTATTTTCAGAAGTGAGATATGTTTTTAGTTCTTAGGCTACGTTCACACTGCAGGTGTTAATGCTCAATTCCGATTTTTTGATCAAATCAGATTTTTTTGTCTGCTTGTTCACACTACAAATAAAATGCGACAGCAAACGCGCTCTAGTGTGAACGCTCAAAGCGGCCCGCATGCGCAAAAGAAGACGTCACACACAACGCGCTCTGTTTAGACCCAGAGCAAACAGTATTGTTTGACTGATGGCCCTTAATATAAAGACTTCGGACTTTACGTTTCCCAATTTTTGCTTTAAGTTATTTTGTTATTTACATAATAATGTAAATAACCTAATAATGATCCTTATTGCTGTTTTAGAGAGGAGCGGTGCTTCAAAGGATAGCTGCAGATTTCTGTCAGAATCTGCAGATTATACAGTACAAATAAAATGTTCACGTTTCTCCAACGTTGTCTTCCCAACAGTTTCACTGACATCTACGCTGGATGGCCAGGAAGCGACCGCGATGTCTTCTCGGGCGCTTCTCTAGTACTGATAATTGGCGTCTGTCTTGTGTCGGTGACGTAAAAGACGGATTTGATGCGACCTGACCGTTCAAACAGCAGTCGCTTTCTAAAACATCGGATATGTATCGGATTCAGTACCACATACGAAAGTGACCCAGATCGGATTTGAAAATATCGGATTTGCACCGTTCACACTGTCACACCATGATCGGATATGGGTCGCATAGTGTCAAAAAAATCGGATTTGATGCGCTTTCGCCTGCAGTGTGAACGTAGCCTTAGTCTTTTGTTTATTTGGTCAGTTCCCTTTTTGTGTCCAAGATGTCCTAGTTTCACCTGTGTCCCCTTCCCAGCATCCCCTGTGTGTCCCCTGTCTGTTATAGTAGCAATATGAGTTTGTCTTACTGATTCACATCTCAATATCTTCCGCCTGGATTGGAGAAATTCTGGAATTTCTTTGAAATATTTGTTCTCCATGAGGTTTTCAGAGGACTTCTCTTTCCATTCTTCTCCATAAAGTGCTGACAGCTTTTCAACAGCATCACGATAATCATCGTCGCCTTCCTTGTCCTGATCTTCATTATTGTCAAGAAGCTGATGAAATGACCACAACTCATCTTTCCACTCCTACAAAAATAGATGACAAGCAATTTATTGAGGCATGTACCCAGCCTTAAGCTCCAAGAACTGCACTATAACAAATTATTTAGTTTTAAGTACAAATCAAACTTTGAGAATTCATTTTACCTCCTTTGTGATGAACTCAATTTCTGCTTCATACTTTGTGCTACGTGTGTTGGCTTCCACTTTGATCATGACTGAGGTGCAGGCATTGATGCTTCCTGAAGGTAAAAGATTCTTCTCTTCAATGATGGCATTTATCAAAGAGCTCTTTCCAGCCCCGGTTTTACCAAAGACACCAACCAGCTCCCTCTTGTCTGTCTCCAAATCACTGATCTTTTTCCTGTTGAACAAGATTTTAAATATGGGTTAATTGATTCAGTCATGAAAACTTTTTATGCACGCTTTAAAAAAGAGAGTTTCAAAGAGAGTTATAATCATGGTAGTGATCATCAAATGAAATATCACTAAATATTTTAGTTTTATACACATACACCACTAATTGTTTACTGTATGTTGTTTTGATCAGCATCTTCCTTTTTGTGTCAGTTAAAGCTAAAATGTTTCCCCCAAGAGTTGGTAGATAACAGGAACAGCAAAAAATGTAGTTAAGTCACCAAAACCTCCTAAAAATATCAGTCTTTGTTGGTCTTAACTTTGATAGTTTTATTTTACTAATAAATCATTCTGTGATCTATAGTTGTACTGCTGTTAAGTCAAAAGTATAACGTAAAATAGCTAAACAAAGAACCAACACACCAAACAGACTGACACAAGAAACTAATTGGTGAATATGGAACCAAACTATCATCTGGCCGAGTGGTGCGACACCAACAACCTGCTGCTTAACACCGAGAAGATCAAGGAGCTCATCGTGCACTACAGGAGGAAAGCTGACCCACATCCACCCATCTACATTAAAGGGACGGCTGTGGATTATGTGAGCAGCTTCAAGCTCCTTGGAGTCCACATCTCCGAGGATCTCATCTGGACGACCAACTGCTCCAAGTTGGTCAAGAAGGCTCACCAGCGCCTCTTCTTACTGAGGACTCTGAGGAAGAACCACCTGTCCTCAGACATCCTGGTGAAATTCTACTGCTGCACCATCGAGAGCATCCTGACTAACTGTATAACAGTCTGGTATGGGAGCCTCTCTGCCTCGGACCGGAAGGCGTTGCAGAGGGTCATGAAAACCGCCCAGCACATCGGTGAAAGACCACTTCCTGCCATACAAGACATCTACAGGAAGGTGTCTAAAAAGGGCTGGGAAAATCATCAGAGGCCACTGTCACCCAGCACAAGGACTCTTCGACTCCTGCCCTCTGGGAGGCGCTACATGAGCCACAGGACTAAGACCATCAGGTAGTGGTAACAGCTTCTTCCCCACAGCTGTCAGACTCCTGGACTCTGACCCACATTAAACTCATGGACTGAACATACACACACCTACAACCACCTATAACTGAACACACACACAATGGACAAAACAAACAAATGGCCAACTGTACCCTCATACACAAAATAATAACATGGACCGGTTCAGGTGGTGGTTCACCAACCTTACAACCACTAGCACTTTATATAACCACTGTAGAAATTACCCACATATCTCACTGATCTGAACTGCACTACTGTAAATGCTGTATAGACAATCATTCTGTACAATACAATAATTATAGTTCTACAACTGTTTATTAATACTCACAATTGTATATCTACAATCAGTATAGTTCATATTTCATATTTCTGTATAGTTTTCATATTTTTAACCATATTTAAATCCTGTTCATAGCCTGTACATAGTTTGTACACTCACTACAGCCTGTACATACTTATAGTTATAGCATATTCATAAAATACCTTCATACCGTGTACATTGTAACATACCCATAATTAGGGATGGGTACCGGTGTCCGGTGCCATCTGACATAAACGGTAGTAACCAGACCGAAAAGCAGCGCACATTTCGGTGCTTTATTTCGGTGCTTTTATTCCCTGAGCTGTGATACACTTCTAGCCAATCATTTTACGTTTCCGAGGATAGTAGGCGGGGCCCCTTCCTATGCTTTATTCCCTGAGCCTGTGAGTAGGCAACTTCTCATAGGGCCATTCCATGTTTAGACAGTTCTCCCAGGATAGTAGGCGGGGCCAGGTACGTACGTTCTTTTACAGCAGAGCTACAGATTAAAAATGCCCAAGGCGAAGCGGTCAAAAGTCTGGCTGTACTTCACAGCAAAAAATGTAAACTCAGCAGCCTGCAACAAGTGCTTTAAGCAGATTAACTGTGACTTATAACGTGGCAAAGGCGGTTATCAACCGGTCATTAATGCGATGAACAGCCGGTGGGCGACGGGCATAGTGTTTGTTTTTTTAGAAGCCCACACAGAAATTATGACTAAACAGTACAATTTGATTAGCCTTGCATAGTGTTTTTTTTTATAGCGTTTTTTTTAAAAGCCCAGAAATGCACCGTATTTGATAGCTTGCTGTGAGACCTCACACCGCGCGCATCTACTGCGGGTGGGTTGCCTGTTATCGGACCCGGAGTTAGCATTTCATTTTTCTGATTTCGTATTATAGGGACGTGTTGGGTGGCCAGAAGCGTAATATACCGACGATTTGTCACATAGCATAACATGTTACGCTTTGGGAGTGAGAACGTGTTGTCTTTTCATGTTTGCCTCGGTTCTCTCCAGGTACTTTGGTTTTCTCCAACAGTCCAAAGACGTGCAATTAGTGCATTTAGGTTAATAAATCCTCATCAATGTAGTTACTCATTCCTGTGACTGTATCTTGGTGTAACCAGTGTGACATCCATAAAGTTTGTTTGGACTGAATCATTTTAATTGTTGTGATCATGTGAATATACTGCTTATTTTTGCGTGTGTCAAGACTCTTGAAAAGGGACCATCTTCTCTGTGTGACTCAATTACACATAACTAGCAGTTTTTGAGGATGTTTTACAGATATTTTCTGCATTTTTGGTTTCTTTAAAAACAATCTCTCTTTGATCTGTTTGTGAAACTGTCACATGATCAGGAGTGGAACCAGGCCCATACATTACAAAATATGAAAAAACTTAATACTCACTTCAAGAAAGCACTGAGTTTGTCTTGGTCATTTAGTCTGGCATGTACAAATGTCATGATGCTTTTCACATCAGACAGTATGATTGATTCTGTGGACAAAGAAAGGAAAAAACTATTTAAAACAAATAGACTAGAATAAACAGAAAATGTAAAATCTCATGTAAAAAAAACAAACAAACAAAACAAACGTGTGTGAATTAGAGTATATCAGGACCATAATGTGACCACTTACCAATCAAACTTACTATACCGTGCATCAAGCTGACTGTTAAATTTTGACAACAGCCAAAGAAAAAGTAATTTCTAGCATCAAAGATGAAACTGGCATGTTGGGCAAATTGTGCTGCACAGAAATTTAACCCTTAAACTGTGACACTGTTTAGAAAGAGACGTAAATACCTGCAAATCCTGGCATAGACAGACGCTGTCGCTTAGCTGGTGACTGCAACCTGCTGGCGTCACTTTGAAGATCTGATTTTCTCTTTCCTGATTGGATAAAAACAACAAAAAATAAGAACAAAAAATGTGTTTCTCTCAGCATTGTAATTTATTCTTAGTAAAGTTATGTAGATTGAAAGGCACCAATATTTAGGTGCAAACACAGAATAATATGAGATGCAATAAATACTGATGCATGTGTCTCACCTGTATCACTTGTGGATGGCAAGACCTGAGGATGAATATGAGTTATACAGGAAATTATTACTATTTGCATTGGCATTGCTCTTTAACAACATTTGAAGGACACTAGCATACAAGTTTTACAATCAACAAACTTAAATGCAGTTATATTTATAACTAGCAGACTGATGAAGAATACATTATATACCTAATACCTTATCACAGAATTGGAGACTTTGCTTCGCACCCTTAAAAATCCTATAGCTAGCCAGGCCCCTTTAGCCTGTCCAGTCAAAGGCTAGCTCCCTCTGGCAAATTGTCCCGAACAGTCGGGGAAACAAGATGACTGGGTGACGATGAGGAGGAAGCATAGTCTTAAACAGAAGTCCCCGGTACACCACCAACCTGTTCATGTGTCTAACTGTTTTTGCCAACTTGGCAAAACACTCGCCAGGAATCAAACTCTGGTAATTGGTGATTCTGTTCTTACTTGAATCGAGGAGGGGGCCTAAGGGTACACCTTTCGCCATCTTAGAATGCTGTAATTGCAGCCATTCCCCAACTCTCTGAATGGTATTCATGGCCATTGATCAGCGGGTTTTGGTCAGTGGTTGTTGATCAATGGTCATGAGAATTTGCATAATTAACATTAAGGAACTGACCTCCCAGCCCATTGTTCCTTCACTGGACTGGTTTCAGTCATTATGCAAATGTACTGCAGTCAGCTGAAACTAAAGAAGTCACTTGGATGAGTGACGAAACGGTTCTCACACAAAACGCTACGTCCAGATGAACAGAATCAAGTTTTGGAGATTTACTTTCCTGGATGATTGATGCATCAAGACAAAACGATAGTAGTCAAAGAACATAGTACAAAACTGATATATCTCAGGATTAGGCCAGTATACCAGAAAATAGTAAAAGAGTTGCTTTTAACGGCGGCTTTTTACCCATCACTGAATTAATTACTGGCCGTGCATTTCTTTGAATATATATCCAGATAAAGTCACCTTCTGTTCACAGGAAATAGCATGATGTAAGAAACTTAATTACTTTAACAGATTGGAGGTTCTTCTTGAATCTCATTATTCATATGGGCCAAGTTCTTGCCTTGTGATAAAGGTTCATACCAGACTATGTATAACATCGCCGGATGAGTTGCCAGAGCTCAAAAAAGTACTGTAGTGGTCCTAGTCATGCAAATTATTATCTGTGAGATCAGTAATGCATATAGAAGTAAGGGGTTAGGCGATAAGGATGTATTGGTGCCAGAAACTTACTCTCCTTCGACTGCAGTCACTCGCAGGATACGCAGGAAAGTGCACGATATCACTAGTCACTGGCAATCAGAGGCTTCACGTTAATCTTGGCGCTCCTTGAAGAATTTTGCCAAGCTCAGAGACAGTGTAAACTATGAGCCGAGACGAATCGCAAAAGACCCGAAGAAATTTGGTTCTTTTGAGACGAAGAATCATCCACACGTGACCATACAAGAGGTAATGGTAAGATACCACAGTGACGTAATGCACTAGAAGCTGTAATGTCTCATAATGATAGACTCCAGTGACCTATATGTAGAGCCTTTCTAGTTTGTTATTACAGGTTTGAGCATGCTCATGTGCTCACGATCGATCGGAATCCTTCCACACACTGTAATGCAGCATATTAAAAGTCATGAAGTCAACTACGATAGAATATTTAGGAACTTCGATGACACTCTCAGGTTTTATCGTGCTACCTAGCGATGTTGTACCTGTTAGAAAAAGTAAATCAAGAACTCTGAAGAAGAGAGGAGGAAAGGCTTGCCTTGAGGAGGTGAGAGAGGGAAGAGGGTGGAGGGAGTTTAATGACCGCTCGCAGTAACACAAACGGAACAACCAGGCTGGGACGAACGTCAAAAATTTCGCGGCATGACCAGATGCGAAATTCCAACACCACAGACGGTAATAGTCTCACGGTTCAACAATCACAAATAATACTCGGGTAACTCATGTAGGTGAAACTTTACGCTGCTTTGACAACATTTGCAAGTAAAATGATACACTTGTTGAGGGGAGGACAAATGTTGGTATATTTCATGAATGAATAATAATTCAAGGCAAATCACTGATTACGCGTGCGCGAACAGGAGAGAGCTAGAGCGGAGAATATTGGAATGAAAGGCAAGGAAGATCGGAGGCAGTGTTTGTGCAGCGCAGAAGATGAGGTACCGTGTGCCTAGGAGGAGCGTGTTAACCAAAACATCCTGTCTCACCTTTACGTGAGCCATATTTTCTTACAACATGAACACGTGTATGTATTGTTTGAGAGTGACTATATAAACGCTGCTTAATTATTGTTTTTGAAGTATGCTACTTATAACCAATAACCAGAGATTCTATAATCCTATATAAATGATAACTAAGATACAACGATTATAAGCACATTGGCAACTAGTAACTCTTACTAGGTTTTCCTGAAACTTAGAAAAAATGCACAGATGTCCTTCCAGTGCCAGGCCACCTATGACTATCTTTTTACAATCACCTCTTCTCATAATAACTGATGAATTACAAAATATCTCATTAACCTTTTTGTTTGTTTTCTGTTTTGTTTTAATATTGGCTCAGGCTTTCTCATAAACTAGCAAATTTAAAAGGTGCAAGAAATGTAGTTAAGCAGTCACTTCAGATGCATACAGAAGACATTTTTCCATCACAAATGCTTTTTCAGTGAGATCTGGATGCAAGGCTGCAGGTTTGAACTAATAATTTGTGTTTATATAGCTGCACGTCTACTCGTTAGCGTGAATGCACATGCTTGGATCAGGGGGAATGAAGGGTCGAAATGAAGCTAACAGATTGCCTCGTTTGCCTTTTTGAACTGCCCAGCACGTTTGGAGAACAGGAGGGGAGCAACAAAAGGTGTTAGGCTTTATGGAGACCCCTCTGCACACTTGTTTTGTCCCTTGTGGTGGTTTATCTCTGTCCCAGGGTCAGTGTTTGTGTATTATACAGCCGATGTGGGGAAGCCAAACAAAAGGTGTATATGGCTTTAATGGAGACGCCCATGCTGGACAGATAGGCCATATTATCTTCCTGATTCACTGCAGAACTTGGATTAATAGCTATATTTGCATTCAGGTATTCATCTAGCTTTGACACTTTTATCTGGCTAGGCCTATATATGACCCCTTATGGGTATTTCACTCCAGGTGACTTGACTGATCGGGTATCGGTTACATTGTACACTCATTGCTGCAGCATCAAAGAGCCCTACGTGATGAGCTGGCCGATTCGCTGACTATAGAGAGAGAGGACTAATTCGTGCTCGCTGTACAGTGGTTTTGGTTCTATACGATCTGACTCAGGGTTTCTGTCAGATTGTGGGGATATTTGGATTTCGTGTTCGGTTGTGTCACTTTGTTTTTACGCTAAGTATAACGATCGTCCAGCCCTATTCTTATGTTATTGTAATCCATTAATTATATCCTAAGTAATGTCACAGATGTTCTCATCCAATAAAACTTCAATACGTGAGGATTTGAGTGGGTGACTTTGATGTTTCATCATATATAGTCATTTGATGTCTTGTTAGCCATGGAATAGGATCCGCCTTAGCTCTTGTGCATCGCACTGATTAGGGGGATTATAGAAATGTTCTAACTATGAGCATTAAGTGTTCTTATGGTCCATTTCGATTCATATATATTGTGCAGGTCGCCCTTCCAAGATGAATAGGCATGCAACACCTGTTTACATTCTCACTTTGTAATCTATTTATCTGATGTTTCTTTGTGGTATTAATTATGTTAAGTTTTGAGTGTAGTTTCGGAGCCTGATGAGCCATTTGTTTTAGTGGATGTTAGGCGGTGGCTTGGGGTGATGAGTTAGAGGGGACTAGCTACTACTACCAGGCTGGAGGCGACAGATCCAGCCTGTGTGGTGTATATATATATATATAGTTTGTGTGTGTGTGTGCCTACTTGTGGGAGGGGTAGGGCACGGTTGTAAACTTATCAGCTGGTGATGACTTTCCACACAGCTCTAAGACAACTTAAGCCCTCTCTAATTACAGCACATCTGTTGCAGCAGAAAGGTATTCTTGTCATGTGGTTTAACAAATACTTTCGCATTCAGAGGAGTACAAACCTAATGAGCCTCACAGCCCAGGGCAACTCACGTCTCCCCACTAAGATCAAAAAAACCTAACCTCCATGCAACAGGCACACATGCACAGACACACACACACCTATGTGTAAAGAAAGCACACAGCCACAGAGGAACACTGGTACATGCACACTTTAAAAGACAATACACATTCACAGACACACTGTCATCATACAATCGCACAAACACATAACAAACACGAGAACTGTCATCATCCAGCTTCTCGTAGTGTTATACACATACAAATTCTCATGGGTGACACCGTTACCCTGTTTCTCTCAAATATGGGCAGTGCGTAATCAAGGTATCTATTATGGTGAGTGTATTGTCGAGAGCTATAATATAAGAGCCGAGAACTCTAATTAGAGTGGGTTCTGGTCTGTTTACACCTTCGGTAGCGGACGAACATTCATTCTTCTTGGAGGAGTGGAGTTAATTACTCAACAGAGTGTATATTGATTCTCGACCAATGGAACGTATGAACACGGCATGTCACGTCTGCTCTAATTTCTTGCGCCGTGTCGCCGCTACTAATCATTATAAGAGCTTGTTAATGTCTGTCTTTTTGCAGCAACCTGGGGGACTTTGTGGAATTTAGAAGTAGACTTGAAGGGAGAAGGGAGTACAGTCGGACACTGCAGCTAATGGAATTGAAGTGAACAACCGGCTTCAGTGGCACAAGGATAGCCTTCTCTGGCCGAGTGGTTTGCAGAGTGACTTTATACTCACGATGTGCACTTCTATATCCCTAGCGCGTTGTGGCCTCATGATGGAATATCGTCGATCCATCGGATTATGGCAGGTCTGTGCTTACCAGTAATGGATTGGCCTCTTGCGCACGAGACAGGAGCCACAGGAGTGCATATGCATGCCTTGCTTTGCCTGACGACCCACTTACTGCGCGCTTATGCACTGTCACTTTTCTCTAGCGTTATATCAGGTTTGCTTTCTCCTTCCTCGTCAGCCACTGTGGTACTAGGGGCTTTACCAAATTTTCCACGTACTCGCTTGCGCTCGCCCAAGACCTCATCCGCGTGTCTTTGCTCACTTTCTGCCGTCTATGAATGGGGCGAAGTGGCGGAGTGTAGTCTTTTATGCGACCTCAGGGATCCAGCCCATACTTAGCATGGAAATAGGCTATGTTGCGCTGCGAGCTGCCGTGGCAAACCCTTTCTCAACAACCTGTAGTCTCTAACTGTAGCACCAGATCCAGCCCCTTTGCCCAGCGGCATTTAACCAGTTAGCCTCTTAACATTAAGGTA